CCCGTTAGCGCCGGTCACGTGGGAGCTTTAAAAGCTTAAAGTTTCAGCTTCACAGTCGCTTCCCCGAAAACCTGTCCCGTTTCCGCTTATGTTCCAGGCGGGTTCTCGCAGATGTACGCCTGTGTCTGCGACTGGCTGGGGTTCCCGTACAGGGAGGAAGTGCAGTGGGTGAGTGTGCCTGTGTGCAGTGTGCACACTCACATGCACACACACAGACACGGATGCATAGCACACACCCGTTCACACTTACACAATCACTCACAGACACACAACACACTCATACACACTCACAGACACACCACCCAGTACATACAAACTCACACACACACAACATACACTCATACACACTCACATGCACACACACAGACACAGATGCACAACACACACCTGTTCACGCTTACACAATCACTCACAAACACATACAGACACACAACCCAGTACATACACACTCACACAGTCACACTCACAAACATACCACACACATTCATAAACACACAGAGACTCTTTCAGTGTCTGCCTGGCTTGTTTCTCTGTTTCCCACCCTTTGTTGTTGCTCACAGTCTTCCTTGCTCAGATCACGTACGAATCCGCCCAAAGTTTCAGCTTCACAGTCGCTTCCCCGAAAACCTGTCCCGTTTCCGCTTATGTTCCAGGCGGGTTCTCGCAGATGTACGCCTGTGTCTGCGACTGGCTGGGGTTCCCGTACAGGGAGGAAGTGCAGTGGGTGAGTGTGCCTGTGTGCAGTGTGCACACTCACATGCACACACACAGACACGGACGCATAGCACACACCCGTTCACACTTATACAATCACTCACAGACACACAATACACTCATACACACTCACAGACACACAACCCAACACATGCACACTCACACACACACAACATGCACTCATACACACATGCACACACAGACAGACGCACAACACACACCTGTTCACACTTATACAGTCACTCAGACACAACACATACACACTCACAGACACACAACACAGTACATACACACTCACACACACACTCACACAAACATACCACACACATTCATACACACACACTCACACACACACAACATGCACTCATACACACTCACATGAACACACAGACACAGATGTACAACACACACCTGTTCACACTTACACAATCACAGACACACAACACATACTCATACACACTCACACAGACACAGACACACACATAAACACAGAGACTCTTTCACTGTCTTCCTGGTTTGTTTCTCTGTTTCCCACCGTTTGTTGTTGCTCACAGTCTTCCTTGCTCAGATCACATATGAATCCGCCCATGTCCTTGTCTGCCTTTGCGTCTCTCTTGCTCCCCCACCACCGACGCGGACTGTTCACATGACTGTGCTGTGTTTCCAACAGGATGTGGACACGATCTATCTGACCCAGGACACCCGGGAGCTGAACCTGCAGGACTTCAGTCACCTGGACCACAGGTGAGGGCCTCCCTCCCCTCTCCCTCCAGCTCGGAGCCAGGGCCGCACGGCTGCTGAGCCCGCGGGGCGCTGACGGCGTGGATCTTGGCTGTTGTAAGAGCGTGGGCTTCGTTGTTTCTGCTTCCAGGGACCTGATCCCCATCATCGCTGCCCTGGAGTACAACCAGTGGTTCTCCACGCTGTCCTCCAAGGACCTCAGGCTGGTGAGCGGGGACGAGGCGCCTGGCGCGGGGAGGCTGGGTTTCAAACACCCGCCGATGATCAGAAAAGTGGGTTTGTTTTCCTGCCGAGCTGGCGCGCTGCCTACATGTGTATTTCTTGGGGAGCTTTTCCCCCAAAAGTGTTCTGTGTAACATTTTCTTAGGGGGCGCGGTTACGGTGTTTTGGCCAGGTTCAAACCTCGGACTAATGAAAGGACAGGGTCCTCTCACTGCCACGTGCAAGTCCCAGCTGGAAGGCAGGGCCCTCCCAGCACAATTAAGTTTGAACCTATGGTCCAAACACGTAGCCCCACGTGCCTTGTGCTAGAGTTCGGGTGCATATAGTTGAGTGAGGTTGGAACTCACGAGAATGCTGTAAACAACGTGATCACGCCCCTACTTTGCCTCGTGGCATCTGCTATAAAATAAAGACACGGCTTGTGGGCGC